TTGCAGTGTCACAGAAAAAAACATTTATATTCTGGAACATGGCCATACAGGCCGGAAAACTCACAGCAACCCAGTGATTCCGGCCATTAAAGCCTTTGACAACACATTTATATTATAAATAGGAAAACCTTCTGAAATTGTAAGGGAACACAGGTTTAGGGTGCTGGGTCCCTTTTCGAAGAAGTCCAGAGTCCAATAGGTTCAGGTAAGACACTGTTTATTCAAGCTGATCAGCATGAGGCAAACACACAGCACTTCTGCAAGTGCTCCCAGAGACTGCCGTGCCCTTCTCTGTTTTTGCAAACTTTTATATACCCTCAGGTAAACAAGAATATTTTTGTCATGGAAAGTACTTTGACCTTTACTCTTCCTGTCCCATCAGCCTCTTGATGGAAAGTACCTTTTCGCACCTGCAGACTTTGCGCTTAACCACAAATCAACTTCCCATGTAAGCTCGCTAATATAGCGACTTTTCAAAAAGCCAAAACCTTGAACTTTGTATGACCTCTATAATAACATTTTGGTTAAAGATTTTAATTTTTTAAAATATTTATTAGGCTTATGCCTCCTTCAAAATGAGTTTTAAAAGCTTAAACAAAAAAAAACACAGCTATTCTCTTCATACGTTTTGTTCTCGCCATCTAAGCATCATAAGTAGTCTAAAGATTTCCTTGGGAATTCCCATGGAAAGAACAGTGAAGTAGAATGAGACATCCATATTTAAACTGGTTACTGAATCATAGCAGGAAAGGGGGCCAAAATTTATTATTTGTAGCATGAGAAAAGATTCATGTTCCCAATGAATATACAGCATAACATTAAGAGTACATCATGTGACAATGATGAGACAAAAAGCAGGACCAAACCACCACTCTTACGGTTTATCAGTGTTGTGTGATGAGATCCTTAATATCTTTGTGTAGAAGGAGCTTTAAACAATTGAATGTTACAGCTAAAAACCAAATGTTGGAAGATTTACTTGTTTGGCCTATGACTTCCAAAGCAGCCTAGTCAAATGATGTGTTGTTTAAATCACAACTTCTCTGGGGTCCCCAGCCCCAAATGGTGACCCCTTAGCTCAATGGTGGGGGTTGCGAAAAAATTCACAACAGTAAAGCATTTCTAAATGTCACCTAGACATTTATGCATATCTGTTAGCAACAAGATTACTGCAACGCACTCTACGTGGGGTTGCCTTTGAAGACTGTTCGGAAACTTCAATTAGTCCAGCGGGCGGCAGCCAGATTACTCACCGGAGCGTCATACAGGGAGCATACTACTCCTCTGTTATGTCAGCTCCACTGGCTGCTGATCGAGTTCCGAGCACAATTCAAAGTGCTGGTTTTGACCTACAAAACCCTATACGGTTCTGGCCCAGCGTATCTGTCCGAACGGATCTCCCTCTACATCCCGCCTCAGAGTTCAAGATCTTCTGGGGGGGCCCTGCTCTCGGCCCCACCTCTATCACAAGTGAGGTTGGTGGGGACGAGGAGCAGGGCCTTCTCGATGGTGGCCCCTCACCTGTGGAAATCACTCCCCGGGGAAATTAGGTCATCGACATCCCTCCTCTCTTTTAGAAGGAATTTAAAAACATGGATATGGGACCAGGCTTTTGGGTAATCTGGCAGATAGACAAAGGACAATTGACGACTAGAATTGATAGGATTTGACAATGTGGAATGAATTTACGGACTCTGAGCTGGCAAACGTTGAGCACTAGATTGGTTTTATTGATTATGATGTATAATTGATTGTTTTAATTGTTTTAATTGCTGTGTATATATGTTTTATCTTATTGTTTGTGTTGGCATCGAATTGTGCCTTTTGTAAGCTCCCCTGAGTCCCTCCTCGGGGGTTGAGAAGGGCGGGGTAGAAATGCGTGAAATAAATAAATAAATAAATAAATAAATTTATACAACAGACTCTGCAGAAAATGCTTTATAAAAAGGAAAATCAGCCTGTTCAGCAAGCCTTGCAAATGCTCTTTTTAAGAGTTGATTTTATATACCTACATATCTAGATGGCAAAAAAAAGTTGTTTTGGGCAGAAAGGAGTCACGAGTGGAAAAAGTTTTAAAAGCCCTGGTCTAAACAAAGTAGGCAATAGATTCACAAATCCATGCTACGCAGCAGAACTTAGCTCCTAAAACCTACTTGGAGGAATGGACCTCAGTTTTCTTAGGGCTATTTCTGCATTACCTAGCTTCTGAATCTTCTCTGAAATTTCTAAGTACAACTAGGGATGTAAAATCCAGGGAAGGGGAAAGTAAAATATTTCTTTTCCATGAAAAACCCTGAAAAACCAACTATAGAACAATTTCTTGTGGAATGATGAATACAATATTTAAGGCATGGTATGGTTTAGCCTTGTCCTGTGTGGTGCAGTGGTTTCAGCATTGGACCATGACTCTGGAAATAAGCAATTGAATGCCTGCATGGCCATGAAAACCCAGCTGGGAAAATTATTATTATATTCTCTCAATCGCAGAGGAAGGCAAAATCAAACTTCTGAACAAACCTTGCAAAAAGAAAAATGCCTAGATATATTGGACACGTTGGAAACAATTTGAAGGCACAGAGCAACAACAAATTATTTATGTATTCCGTGTTCTCTCATTCCCCCCCCCCCCAAAGCTATATAATGACTTTGGTTTCCTTGTCTCAACTCTTTTTATGGTTTTATGGCCTACCTGTCCAAATGTATCTCCCCCTATGAACCATCTCAGAGATTAAGATCTTCTTTGGGGGGTGGGGGGTGGGGTGTGTGCTCCTGGTCCCAAAGTCCATGTAAGCGCGACTGGTGGGGATGAGAAACAGGGCCTTCTCACTGGTGGCCCCTCAGTTGTGGAACTCCCTCTCTAGTGATATCAGAGCAGCCCCTCCCTCCTAGTGTGTAGAAAGAGAGTCAAAGCCTGGCTCTGGGAGTAGACCTTTGAAAAATAGAGCAGTGCAGGAATGTTATTTTGGAAAATGTGCAGTTTGACCTTTGAATGGTCTTAGACTCTAACTCTGGATGGTGTGATTCATTGAAATGTATTTTAATTATGTGTTCAATGTCTTAATTTTTAACTTATGTTTTAAGATGATATTGTAGATGCGATTGTAACCTGCCTTGTGTCCCACTCGGGGTAGAGAAAGGCGGGATATAAATAAGGTTAATAAATAAATAAAATACATTATGAGTGTATCATGTTTGCCTGGCTTAAGGAGGCAAAATAATTTCTTCGTGTTAGTAATGTTGAGGGTTTCATCTTTTTTTGTGGGATGGGGGGAAGGTTTCCTGCTGCTCATAAGCTGGCTGAAGCAGCCCCTTTTCCTTTTTTACTTTTAGTTCAGGCATTTTCTTATACTTTAGAATGTAGTAGTTTTATTCTAAGAATAATATTTGAAAATGTCAGTTTTGAAATATTTAATGAATAAACTGTATCTTTGATTTATCAAGTCAAGTGACTTAATTGCTAAAGGGTTCTAACACTGCATTTTTAATTTCCCCCGAAAATCTTCATTAAAAATGGCCAGGAATATCCCCCAGCTCCAAAATTTCTAGAATTATTTTTACATGACTAGGTGTCATTGGCTGAAATCCTACTTTTTGGTCACTTCCAAATAGCATCAAGGACACTTCTAGATAGCATAAAAATATAGATTAAATAAGTGGCTTTCAAAATCACAGGCCCTGACAGCAAGTTCAGACACAGACCTGTCAGTCCCAGAAAATGGTCCCCTGCTTTCATGATATCTTCCTTTGTAGTGGATTTTATAAGTCTCCAAGATGGATGGGGGACTTTCAACAGAATTTTTAAAAAGCTTTCCGAGATGTGTTGGATTATATATGCGCTCATTCGGATATCTCAATGTACGCACAAGCAGATTTCTTTATATCTCTCCTCATTCAACTATAAATTCAAGCTCTGTTTAACATCATAAATATCAGAACAAAAGAATGGTTGCAGAGAATTCACACTGCAATTGATTTCCAATTGTGCTTCTGTTTAGCCACCTGTGTGTCCTTGGCTCCATTTGTTTACAGCCATGATCTGCTGTGTTGGACTTTTAAAACATGCTCATGTGTTGGAGCAATCCACACTAGGAGATAGGAAGGAAGTTATGTGTTTTCCATGATTGCAGGGGTATACAGTCATGTCAATATGTACATTTTTTGGGCAGAATTGGTTTTAACCGCACCTTTTATACACATGCTTTTCAGTTGTTAACCCGAACCAGACCGCACTTTCACAAAACATTATTTAGCTGCCACCCCCTTTATCCCAGGTTTTAGTGCATGTGTAGAAGGGCTCATAGTGGAAGTTCTGTAGGTGGCACATGCGCTACATCCTCCTTTTTGCTCCCTATTGGAGTAACCTTTTAGTTGCTACAGCCCTCCTCTATAGCAATTTAGTGGCAATGGCCATGGATTGAAGCAGGTGAAACGTGAGTACTACTAGAATTTTAGTAACTCAACAAGGTCAGGAAAGAATTTCACTTTTTGCAAGAACAACAACAAAAATAGAGTAAGTTGGACTAACATTTGTAAGTTACTAACAACCATTGTGTGTAGTGAGCTTCCAGATGCAAGTTCAATGGAAGGAAGTGGTGAAGTTATGCCTACCAATTTCCTCTTCATCTCATTTTCCATTTTACTGTTTTGTCTACATCTTCTTCCATGGGGTGGATATAGAGGAGAATGGTTTTCCTCGATATTTTGTTGAATATGAGAACTGACTCTTCAAATTCCAAATCATTGCCTCTTGAATTATCAACCTGGAATGACAATGAAGATGGTAAATTGCGTTGTATGTATTATTCATTTGGTCTGCTCCCAAAACCTGCATTAACTTGTTAAAGGTAAGGCTCTTTGGAGACTTGTTAAAAGCCTGAAATGGTTATTCTGTTCACCCCTTCGAAATGAATCTGACCTAACACAACCGTTGAATGGATATACTGCATAATTGTTTTATTGCTGCTCTATTTGTTTATGCAAAAATGTTATTGATTTCACAGATGCTGGGAGCTCAGCGCTGGAGACATAAAGTGGATTTACCAAACTCCAATTTTAGTAGCTATTGGGGTAGGATTATTCATTCATATAATTTTTAATCCACTCTATTAAAATTTGTTTCGTTATACTCAGAGTAGACCTATTCAGATGATTGAAACTTGTGTCAGCCATGATTATCTCAAGTCCCATTGGTTTTATTGAATTTACTCATACGTATGCTAAATTTGGATACAGCCCTATAATTTCATTCATAGCTGAAGGCTGTAACATAGTGAAAATCACACAAGTAAACCACAATAGTAAGCCAAGCCATTCCTGTTCTGCAGTGTTACTTCTTGGCTAAGATGGACTAAAAGGATTCCAGTATTGCAGATCCTGCGACAGCTGATAAGAAAAGGCATATGAGAAGCCTGATGTTCTGCTTTTGTGTTTTGGATATCATTCCTTAAAGACAGCATGAGGGGGATGGTTATCTTTCAAGTTCTTGTCATTTTAACTATTACATTTGGCCCAGTCATAGGTTTTTAAACATTGTTGTGTTATTGTTGATGTTTACTGCTTATTTTCTGTTTATGAGTTTTATTTTATTGTTTTGTATTACTGTTGTTGTTTTTTGCTGATGTATTGTGGGCTCGGCCTCATGTAAGCCACACCGAGTCCCTTGGGGAGATGGTAGCGGGGTACAAATAAAGTTTTATTAATTATTATTATTGTCTTCGCCATCAACTCCGCTGGACCGGCCACGTTGTCCGGATGCCCGACCACCGTCTCCCAAAGCAGTTGCTCTACTCCGAACTCAAGAACGGAAAATGGAATGTTGGTGGGCAGGAAAAGAGATTGAAAGATGGGCTCAAAGCCAACCTCAAAAACTCTGGCATAGACACTGAAAACTGGGAAGCCCTGGCCCTTGAGCACTCCAGCTGGAGGTCAGCTGTGACCAGCAGTGCTGCAGAATTTGAAGAGGCATGAATGGAGGGCGAAAGGGAGAAGCGTGCCAAGAGGAAGGCATGTCAAGCCAACTCTGACCGAAACCGCCTTCCACCTGGAAACCAATGCCCTCACTGCGGGAGAAGATGCAGATCAAGAATAGGGCTCCACAGTCATCTGCGGACCCACCAGTACACTGATCTTGGAAGACTATCCTACTCAGACAACGAGGGATCGCCTAAGGACTTGTCTTCGAAAACTGCACATGTTTTTTTGGAGTGAGAAGAAAATCGCTGAAATTGTTTGTTATTTTGTTTCAGGACAAAATTAGCAAACAATGACATGCCTGCATGTTTGTAAGTTCTTGGAGATGGAAGCAAACCCTGCTGTTCCTTCCCTTTTTATGCAGAGGGGCCTAGAGTCTTGCAATCATATAGTACTTCCATTTCTACATATGTCTCCAGCTTCCTCCTTGCAGAAGGCTGCATCTTCTGGGAAACAATGAGAAGATAGTCCTTATTTTTCTCATTTTCTTTCGTTGTTCTTTGAAGAACCAGAGATAGCAATTTTCATTTCAGGCTCAAGAAAGAGCTGCTGCTGTTTGACTGCTTTTTGATGTCTGAACGCAAAAAAGCACATGCTCTGTGACAAATGGCAAACTTATTTGCCCTGGTTTTGATTCCTTTTGAGTTTCTTGGAAATCTTTGGCAATACGCTGCAGATCCCATCAGTGTTTAGAATAGAAAAAAATGATCATATTTGTAAAATGTTTTGAAGCCACATTTCTCCATTAATGAAAGAATGAGTCCTTAAAGCCACCCGCCACAAATTCTTCTGTGAAGAGTGTGGAGATGCAGATTACACTATGTAACACAATTTGAAAAAAAAAAATCTGTTCCTGGCTTGAAAAGGTTATTTCCTGTTTAATTGTGTGGTGCTTCTTTTAAAAGTAGTTGTTATACTCCAGAAACTTTGTTTTTGTGGCTGCCACAAACTATGTTTAATTGGGTTGTTGTGAGTTTTCCGGGCTGTATGGCCATGTTCCAGAAGCATTCTCTCCTGATGTTCTCAGGCATCCTGAGAAATTGTGAGGTCTATTGGAAGTGAGGCAAGTAGGGTTTATATATCTGTGGAATGTCCAGGATGGGAAAAGAACTCTTGTCTGTTTGAGGCAAATGTGAATGTTGCAGTTGATGACCTTGATTAGCATTGAATAGACTTACAGCTTCGAAGCCTGTCTGCTTCCTGTCTGGGAGAATCCTTTGTTGGGTATTCCAGCAAGAAACAATCAGGGCTAGCTAATTACATCCCAACAAAGGATTCCCTGAGGCAGGAAGCAGCCAGGCTTTGAAGCTGTGAAGCTGTGCATTGTAAGGACAGCCAATGGTCCATTTCAAGTGAGGGTTTTTGGGCTCATTTGAAAGCCCCAAGTGAAATTGTCAGTCCTAGGTCTATAACCATCTGACTACTAGAAGTGTGCAAAAAAAAATCGGATCTCATCATAACTCGGCTCTATTTCATATGTTTCACACGATGCATATTCTGATGCGCCTGCCCGGTGTGTGGAAAACATTAAGAAATTGTACCTTTTGGTGGCTTTGATTCTTAAGTTTTGATTTATTCAGAAATGCCTGTGATACAGTTAATATTCACAGGGCAATCAGGTCCCGCTGAGAGGTGAAGCCAAACGTGTTGGCATGCCTCTCAGCCAATCAGGGCTGGTGGAGGAGGGAGGCAGAGCAGCTGCCATGTTGCCTTTAAATTTGGGAAGGGAAGAAGACCTATGCAAAAGAATTCAAAAGGCTCTGCCCTAAACTACATTTCCCAGTATGCATCAGAATGAGAAAGGACCAACCAGGAGAGGAGGGAGAGTTTTTTCCCTCCCTAAACAGTTTTTATCAAAAAAATTTATTGTTGTTTTGATACTGTTGGCATTGAATTGTTCCCTGTGTTAGCCGCTCTGAGTCCCCCCTTGGGGGTGAGAAGGGCAGGGTAGAAATGGTCTAAATAAATAAATAAATAAAAATTTAAAAATCCCTAAAATCAGTAAAAGTATGAGTATTTCTGAAAGTTGGGGAGAGCGATCCCCTGTTATCTTGTGCCATTGGATAGAAAATTCAAGTAGCTAGCTCTTGTAGTTTTTAAAAAACTACATTATATTTATGTAATTATGAGATTAGATCAGCCCCCTCCCTCCTGTCCTTTAGAAGGATGACAAAAACTTGGCTGTGGGACCGAGCCTTTGGAACTGTGCAATGAGGCAGCAATAGGCATTCTTATTATGCCAGCGAGATTCAATATAGATTTTGAAACAGTTTTAAACAAAGGATTTAAACGTCGAGATAAGTGATTTTAATGTTTATGTATGTGTATAGTCTAGTTATGTCTCGGCACTGAATGTTTGCCGTTTATATGTTGTCTCCTTCGGGGTGATAAGGGCGGAATAGAAATGTTTTAAATAAATAAATAAATGAAAAATTGAGACTCATTCTAGTTCTGTTTAATGACCTAATTATATTTAAATGGGAACAACAGCCATGTTTTCATTTGTGTATAATTCATCTATAAAGTCGGGAAAGTGGAGATTAATTTGACTTTCAAATTATGGGTGAGTAGTGTTGAGTCCAATTGGGACATTTATTTCCCTTGGTTTAGTGCTCCCGAAGACTTTTTTTCTTGCTGGTATGTGCAGTTACAGTTTGGAATGTGGGCAAAGGACATTTTTGTGACTGATCATTGGAAAGGGGTCAATTCCTCCCTCCTGCTGCGAGTTTATTTTATTTATCGTGTCAGGGGCAACCAGATAATTGTATTACATTTCTAACAGAACAAAAACAAACAAACAAACAAACAGACAAAACACAAAATTTGCAAGCTTGGTAGTTGATTAAATGTCCTTTGACCAGTATCTGGCCACTTGGAGTGCCTCTGGTGTTGCTGCAAGAAGGTCCTCCATTGTGCATGTGGCAGGGCTCAGGTTGCATTGCAGCGGGTGGTCAGTGGTTTGCTCTTCTCCACACTCCCATGTCGTGGATTCCACTTTGTAGCCCCATTTCTTAAGGTTGGCTCTGCATCTCGTGGTGCCGGAGCGGAGTCTGTTCAGCACCTTCCATGTCGCCCAGTCTTCTGTGTGACCAGGGAGGAGTCTCTCATTTGGTATCAGCCATTGGTTGAGGTTCTGGGTTTGAGCCTGCCACTTTTGGACTCTCGGTTGCTGAGGTGTTCCAGCGAGTGTCTCTGTAGATCTTAGAGAACTATTTCTTGATTTAAGTCATTGACGTGCTGGCTGATACCCAAACAAGGGATGAGCTGGAGATGTCACTGCCTTGGTCTTTTCACTATTGGCTGCTATTTCCTGGCGGATGTCAGGTGGTGCAATACCAGCTAAACAGTGTAATTTCTCTAGTGGTGTAGAGCACAGACACCCCGTGATAATGAGGCATGTCTCATTAAGAGCCACATCTACTGTTTTAGTGTGGTGAGATGTGTTCCACACCGGGCATGCATACTCAGCAGCAGAGTAGCATAGCGCAAGGGCAGATGTCTTCACTGTGTCTGGTTGTGATCCCCAGGTTGTGCCAGTCAGCTTTCGTATGATATTGTTTCTAGCACCCACTTTTTGCTTGATATTCAGGCAGTGCTTCTTGCAGGTCAGAGCACGGTCCAGAGTGACTCCCAGGTATTTGGGTGCGCTGCAATGCTCCAGTGGGATTCCTTCCCAGGTAATCCTCAGAGCTCGGGATGCTTGTCTGTTCTTAAGGTGAAAAGCACATGTCTGTGTTTTAGATGGATTAGGGATCAGCTGGTTTTCCCTGTAGTAGTCAGTAAGGGCACCTAGAGCTTTGAAGAGCTCCTGTTCTACCATCTCAAGGCTCCCTGCTTGAGCGGTAATGGCACGATCATCCGCATAGATGAAACTCTCTCTCCTTTCTGGCAGTGGCTGGTCATTTGTGTAGATGTTGAACATGGTACAAAACAGGAGCTTTTTAGTTGAGTTCCAGGGCCAGAGAAGTAGATGGCGGAAACAGAAGAATGGCTTGCCTCAGGGGAGCGTGCCTGCTCCATCCATGGACAACATCTACACAAATGACCTGCTGTGAGTAGCAGATGGTGATAAGTTATTGGATTAAAACTGCACTATTGTTTGATACATAGATGAGGAAAATGTGTAATTAAAACTGTTGTTGTTGTTATGTAATTAAAACAAAGGTTTTCTAATTTTCTAATTTGGTCCTATATTCAGTGGAACCAAAACCCAACTTTTCTTCAATTTGCTATATACTGAGTGCAGGAAAGTTACTTTTTTGACTGCAAATATTGGAGTCTCTCATTTAGCATGACTACTGGTTGGGCAGACTCTGCTAACATCTTTCATAAACACAGAGAAAGACAGTATGGAAAATTAGTTTCTGCTTCAAAGCTGTAATTTATCCTCACTAGGTTCTACTTACAGAAGAATGAAATAGGCAAAACTTTTGACTTGCGTCAATATCTCTAAAGGATTGTGGGATAATACAAATCTCTGAATTGTTTTGCAGTTAAACTTTGTCCTGTTCCTGAATACTGTGCGGGTTTTGGCAACAAAAATCTGGGAGACAAATGCTGTTGGCTATGACACAAGGAAGCAATATAAGTAAGTAAATTTGCTAATTTTACATGTGTTTTCTCTGGTCCCCAAATAACTAAACAATTTTGCAAATACAGCATTACCTCTCAATAGCTGCAGATAAATAGTAAAACAAAACAAATGCCTTTCTAATTCAACAGAGATACCATTACTTTTCTTTATCTGTATATTCTTAGTGATCTCACGATTTCCATTTCCATTTAGGAACATATTCCTGAAGAACTGTGATTTTGAGACAACCATGATGATAGTTTTAAATCTTCTCTGTGTTTGATGTAATGACTTTCAAATGTGGCTTAGAAATTCCATCAGTGCATGCTGGCCTTTATTTCAGATTTTAATGGAGTTGAAAACTATGAGCGCTGGAATCCAGTTGGTGTTTTCTGCTGTTGAGATAGCCCATTGTGTGAGCAACTGTATGAGGGTTGAATGAAAAGTAATGCCTCCAGCTTTGTTGCTTGGGTTTGGATGGGAATATTTAAATAAATCAAACACAGAAATAATCTTTGGAATGTGCTCTTTAACTACCGCTATTCGCTTTTCGACATAGTCACCAGACAATTAGATACATTTCTGCCAATGATGAACAAGTTTTCTGAAGCTGTCATGGAAGAAGTCGACACTCTGTTTCCTCAACCCATCGTGCACAGATCTTCCGATAGCCAAGCAAAGTAATAATGTGACCCACACGTTCTTGTGACATGCCGATTATGCTTGAAATTTCTCTCTAAGTGATATGACGATTGTCCTGAATCTGTCAACCTTTTGCTTGTGAAACTCGGTGGTTGCTGTCACAGGACATCCAACTTTTTGTTTGTCACGCAAGTCAGACACATTGATGTGTGGTTTGGGAGTACTACAGTTAGGTCTCTTGAAATGTTGGATTTCTGTAAAATGTGTAGAGGTTACTGAATGAATTCATGGACTGGTTGCACGTAATATTTTACTATGATTTACCTAAACAAATTTCAGCAAGCTCAAGCAAAGCCTAGGTCTCACATTACCAAGAGGATTAATAAACCCTGATTCAATCTCACTTTCCCGATTAGTGGCTAGCTATTATCTATAAACTGGGAGATTATTTGACAGATTCATAGTCTAAAATAGGCTTTTTAGACAATTAACTGAGCTTTATTCAAGTTATCATTTGTGGCTTAGACATAACAACATAGGTAGTTATAAACCGAGAATTGGGAAAATCAAAATCGAATCTTCATTTATTCTTTCCCGTCTTTGTGGGAAGTGAAGACGTGAGGTGTGTTTTTGAACTTGAGCTATGTGTTAGCTCACAGAAAATCATGTCTGCAAAACTGAGATATGATCAAGGCAATATGCGGGCCAACTCAATGAATAATAATATTTTCAATGAGACACAGAACTATCAGAGAATCATGGGAAGGAGGACAGGATGCAAATAGCCACATACATCCCTTAAGACCCTTCTACACTGCCATATAATCCAGATTATCAATGCAGAAGATCCACATTATCTCCTTTGAGCTGGATTATATAAATTTACACTGCCATATAATCCAGTTCAAAGCAGATAATCTGGATTTTATATGGCAGTGTAGATGAGGCCTTAGATTGCCTACACAGGATCTAAGACATTTGTATACCACTCATATGTGAAAAATATGTTGCAGATTACCGGGCCCAGGATAGAACTCCATAGAGCATGACTTGAGTTCTCTTTCTAGTCTGAGCCATTGATGTTTAGCCCCTGAGTTTGATACAGTGGAGAGAGATCCAATTGTGATCAAACTATTCCTTATTACCCAGTTTGGATCAGAGAGTTAGGCAGAAGTAGTATTTCCAGATCACAAGGCAATTATCTCTTACTGACTCTGGAAATGTGTTATTTAAGATGTCTTCTTGAATACAGAGTGTGATTAGCAAAGAAAAGTAGAAGTGGAAGAAAGGGAGGAAATATAAAAACTTCTAATAGGTGAAAACGAGCCAGCCAATCCATCCTTGCAGTTACCTGCCATAGGTTACCTGCCTGCAATGAAGGTTTGTAGCAATTATGCCATGGGTCTTCCCTGAACAACAGTTATCTAATTTTATTCTGTTACTAATCCATCATACTAAAAGTAACAGCTGCTCACAGTTGTGATGATGTGCCATTGTCTGCTTCATCTTCCCAAAGCGGATTAACAAAAGCTTTAAAGTTTATTGTTTATCGTTTGTTGTTCTTGTGGAACTTCAAGTTGTTTTCAGCTTATGACAACACTAAGATTAAATGTTTAAAAGCAATGCTTTTGGGTTTGGTAAGATTAGCTGTTTACAAGAAACGTTGTCCAGAAGATGCCGGAATGTATTTACTAAGTCTTTGAGGGGGCTCTTTCTTTGTCATATATAAAGAGCTTTATATATGCTGATGACCTTGGTCTAACAACACAACTAAAAGACTTTGAAACAGTTGAAAACCAACTTACTAATGCCTTGAAAGATCTCTTCAGCTACTACAAAGATAACCACTTGTAGCCTAACCTTGCCAAGACAAAAATGTGTGCTTTCAATCTACGGAACTGTGAAGCCAACAGGAAATTGAGTTACCTGGGAAAGCCAAGAGCTTGAACGCGGTTCCCATCCTAAATATCTCAGTGTCACCTTAGATTGAAGACTAACATTTAGGAAACACTGCATGAACACCAAGCAAAAACTACCTGCATGCAATAACATCCTGCGGAAACTTACTGGCAGCGAATGGGGTGTAGACCTAAAATTAATAAGAACATCAACCCTGGCCTTGTCTTACTCAACTGCTGAGTGTGCCTGCCCTGTTTGGCATAAGTCTGCGCATGCGAAGCAGGTCAACATAGCACTGAACGAAGCATGCAGAATAATCACAGGATGTCTCAAATCTATACCTGTTGATAAACTCTACAAGCTAGCTGGTATTGCCCCCCCCCCCCCCCACGATGTGCGACAGGAAGTTGCTGCTAACTGGGAGAGAAATAAGGTGAACACTGTGAAAGTCATCCACTGCATGGCTATTGGCCTCTTCCCAGTAGACTCAAATCAAGGAAAAGCTTCATGAGAACCACCACTCCACTTAACGTTACTCCAGCACCAGCAAGAGTATACCTCTGGGCAGCTAAACCAAGAAATCCCAATGGGATGGCCCTCCACAAGGGTCTGCATCCAGGGGCAAACCAAGAATGGGCAACTTGGTTTGAACAGACTCAGAAGTGGAGTGGGCAAATCCATCAGATAACCTGGCAAAATGGCACTACCTGGAAGCATCCTCCACCTTCTGCGACTGTGGAGTGGAACAAACAACGCATGATTGCCCACTATGTCCTATCTCATGCACAGGGGAAGAATTGTTTAAAGCTACAGACAATGAGTACGCTGTTGCCTGTTTTTTGTCAAAAATTATTTAGCCGCTTGTGCTCCTTCTATTTTTTATCAGTTTTAAATTTATTTATGCAATGCTTTTCACACAAAATCAATTAATAACACTAAGATGAACCTATCATGGCATTTTCTTGGAAAGCTTTTTTCAGAGAGGGTTTGCCTTTACTCTCTTCTGAAGCTGAGATTCTTAGTGCTAAGACAAAAAGACAGAAGAAGGTTTTTAAAAAAGGATAATAATATTATGTTATGCCAGTGTTATCACAGGGCTCTGTTAATCATTCGACTGGAGAAGAGGTAGAGGTCCTGAATAGTAAACAGTAGGGGTAGGTGAAATTCATATGCAAAAAAAGTAGACGGTGAGAATGACCTTAATAAACACCATTAACAAAACTGTTGTTAGGTAGGAACACAGACATATTTGCATTGTTGAGTGATTAGTTAAAACATGCCTTTGTTCAAGCCACAAGAGATAAGAGCTGAAACTTTAGGTGAATTCTTGTCCATCTACTTGCCTTTGACATCTGTCTTTGAAGTTCCTTTGATGAAAAAATGGCCACTTTGAGGTCAGGGACTGAGTGTCCAGATGCTGTCAGATTTTGTGTTTGAGACAGAATATTGCACAATGGGAAACCTTGTCTGGATGCATCTTTTACCTGCAGGTCTGTGTAGAGTTAGGCTGTTTATGTTCTGCTGTAACTCAAACAGCCTTAGTGTGTGTGGGAGTGTAATCTACATCAATTCAGTCTCCAGTTTCGCATGGAACACTTAAAGGATCATAATTACTCTCACATCTTTTCCAGGAAACTAGCAAAATCCACACTGATTCTGATCCTCGTCTTTGGTGTGCACTACATTGTCTTTGTATGCCTGCCTCACACATTTACTGGGTTGGGTTGGGAGATCCGTATGCACTGCGAACTCTTCTTCAACTCATTCCAGGTATGGTGACTTATAGTATTACACTGTTATTATGAGTTATGTTGTTCATTTATGTAAATAGAATAGAGAAAGACCTCTTGCTGTCACACAGGGACAATATAGATATATGCCACCAAAGCATTTGAGTCTTTTTAAATTCCCCCTTTCCTCCTCATCACCTGTGTAACTGGAATATTTTTAAAGTAATGTTGGCATTGAGCTGAAGACACACGGTAGTGGTTTGTATAAGCATGTCCAAAATAAACAGTGCAATAAATAGAGCTTGAGTTGAGAGAGAATAGGATTCTAATCTCCGCAATCTTAGCAGTATGTGCCTGTATCTAACAGGCAAGATGAATACAGCTGCCTCCAGAATCCCTTACAAAATACGTTTGAACAATAGAGCAGAGACATAAGGAGAAAGCAGATTAGCTTGTCTCACCGGCTATTTGAAGCATGTTGAAAAAGCATAGAAAAATAAGTTTTCCCACTAAAGTCAAAACCAGAAGAAATGTGAAGGCTTTTGAAAGAAGTTGTCTTTGCATGCATTCTGGAAGAAGCCTTCAGATGGTCTTCAAAATGTTCTGGTTTGATTATGGAAGGCTTATGTGACATGATTATTCTATTTCAGATCTGCATACTGTTCGTTTTGAATATAAAGTTACTGAAACATTTTGAAATGCTCTTCTTTTTCTGGTGTGGAAATTCCTTTTCTTTCCATATTATTTTTGTTTTGATATTAAATTTTCTGTTATACACATCTGCTTTGATAGCTGAACCACCTCAGGGCTCTTTAAGCAATTAAAAACCAGTGTAAAATTAATGATTCAAGGTGAAGATAATGAAATTACTGATTTTTTATTCTCTTTGTAATTATCTTTTCTTTTCTTATGCAGGGTTTCTTTGTCTCCATCATCTATTGTTACTGCAATGGAGAGGTAAGCTATATCATAGAGTTGGATGACACTACAACGGCCATCTAGTCCAACCCCTGCCATGCAGGAACATTGAACTGAGACATGGAGGATGATATGAACTGGGACAAACATCAATTTTCCTAGATGCAAAACAGGAATGATTGTATGTCATCCACACTACAGAATTAGAGCACTTTGATTGAGCTAGAATCTTGTGCAATATTAAGATTTGTAGTTTCACATGGTACTTGGATTTCTCTGCCACAGAACTCTAGTTCCCCTCCAAAGTAGAAATTCCTGGAGTTAAGTAAAATCAAAGTGCTATAGTTGTGTAGTATGAAAAAGACTTTTGATTTCATTGGATCTACTCTGAGCATGGATCAAACCCAATGTTGTTGCAGTATGTGTACTGTATTTGATTAGTAATAGCTGACACACAAGAAATTAAGCACTGAGCTTGGAAAAGCTACTTCTATTAAAAAAATGTCCCGTGAGATGCTTCCATCGAGTGCAAATATCTTTCTTGCAGAGAAGTGCACCCTGGAAGTAGCCCAAGAAAGAAGGAAAGCAAAAGGAGACTGTGATAGGGAAGATATGCCCCAAATAAATGCACAATTCCAGAGGTTAGCCAGAAGAAATAAGGAACTATTTTTAAACAAGCAATGCATGGAAGTGAAAGAAGACTACAGAATAGGAAGGACAAGAGACCTCTTCCAGAAAATTAGAAACATCAGGGGGAAATTTCAGGCAAAAATTGGCATGATCAAAAACAAAGATGACAAAGACCTAACAGAAGCAAAAGAGATCAAGAGAAGGTGGCGAGAATATACAGAAGATATCTACAGGAAGGATAATAATATTGACAATAGCTTTGAAAGTGTGGTGAGTGAATTGGAACCAGACATTCTGAGGAGTGAGGTTGAATGGGCCTTAAGAAGCATTGCTAATAACAAGGCAGCAGGAGATGACGGGATTCCAGCTGAACTGTTTAAAATCTGGAAAGAGGATGCTGTCAAGGTGATGCTTGCCATATACCAGCAAATATAGAAAACACAAGAATGGCCATCAAATTGGAAAAAAAATCAACTTATATCACCATACCTAAAAAGGGAAACACTAAGGAATGCTCAAACCTTCATACAGTGGCACTTATTTCATATGACAGTAAGGTAATGCTCAAGATCCTGCAAGGTAGATTCCAGCAATACATGGAGAGAGAGTTGCCAGATATACAAGCTGGGTTTAGAAAAGGCAGGGGAACAAGAGACCAAATTGCCAATGTCTGCTGGATAATGGAGAAAGGCAGTGAGCTTCAGAAAAAAACATTTATTTCTGTTTTATTGACTATTCTAAAGCCTTTGACTGTGTGGATCATAATAAAGTGTGGCAACTTCTTAGTGGTATGGGGATACCAAGCCACCTTATCTCTCTCCTGAGGAATATGTATAAGGACCAAGTAGCAACAGTAAGAACTGACCATGGAACAACAGACTGGTTCAAGATTGGGAAAGGCGCATGGCAGGGTTGTATACTCTCACCCAACCTATTCAACTTGTATGCAGAACACATTATGCGATGTGCGGGGCTTGACGAATGCAAGGCTGGGGTTAAAATTGCTGGAAGAAACATTAACAACCTTAGGTATGAAGATGATACCAATTTGATGGCCGAAAGCAAGGGGGAACTGAGGAGCCTTCTAATCAAGGTGAAAAAAGAAAGTCCAAAAACTGGGTTGCAGTTAAACATCAAAAAACCAAGATTCTGACAAACATATTGATTGATAACTGGCAAATAGAGAGAGAAAACTTGGAGGCAGTGACAGACTTTATATTTTTAGGCACAAAGATTACTACAGATGCGGACTGCAGCCAGGAAATCAGAAAATGTTTACTTCTTGGGAGGAGAGCAATGACCAATCTTGATAAAATAGCTAAGAGTAGAGACATCACACTGGCAATGAAGGTCCACATAGTTAAAGCAATGGTATTCCCTGGAGTAACCTATGGATGTGAGGGCTGGACCATAAGAAAGGTGGAGCAAAGGAAGATAGATGCTTTTTAATTGTGGTCTTGGAGGAATATTCTGAGAGTGCCTCACTGGAAGGAAGGCTATTAAGGGCAAAGATGAAGTACTTTGGCCACATAATGAGAAGACAGGATATCTTGGAGATAATGATGCTGGGGGAAATGGAAGAGAAAAGGAAGAAGGGCCACGCAAGGCCAAGATGGATAGATGTTATCCTTGAAATGACTGGCTCAACTTCAGGAGCTGGGGTGGCGAGGCCAACAGGAAGCTCTGGTGTGTACTGGTCCATGAGGTCACAAGGAGTTCGGAAGCGACTGAACAAATAAACAACAATGCACCCTTGGTCCTACCTAAGCAAAAACAGCTTTTTCATGGAAACCCAAGGACCATCTTACTAAACCAACGATAATATGAGTGATGCAGTGTTTGTGAGCATTAGGAGGGAGTGTTCGTACTTCTTTTGTGATTTACCTATCATTTCCATTGCATCACTCCAGCTGGTTTAATTGCTACCTTTCTACGCCCAAGGTTATTTCTCAGATTTAATTGAGGAAGCTGCAAGTTGAGAGAGAACTTTGAGTGATTACAGGTCAACCCTATAGTATTTTTGTATTCTTAAAGTAGTTTATACTAAATGTAGTGGAAGAGTGTAATATCTGTTTTTAAAGTGTATGATTTTTCGCAGTAGAAGGAACCAACATATTATTTAGAAAATATCAATTTTCTTTCTTTTTTCTGTTTAAAAAAACAAAAACCCTTGACTTGAGGGTGGAGGAAAAGGAGTTGAATAAACTTTCTGATAGCTGTGCTGGCTGATGTTTAGTCTAAAGAGCTTTTTTCTGTCCTGTGGTTCTTCCATTATATTAGTATATGATTTCAGTCCACAGGGAAGTTAGAATAGCTTTTTCTTGTTTTCCTCTCTGCAGAAAGTTAAATCTTTCTTTTCTAGCAAGCCCTTGGAATCTGATTTTAACAACAGAAAGGGGACTTTTATGGTGCTGTACTGTTTTTATTCTATTTTAATTCAATTATTTAATAATGTTTTAATTTTATTTTTATATGTTTCAACTATATGCATTTTATTTTATTCTCTGCCATTTTGTAAGTCACTTTGAGTTCTAATTTGGGAAAAAGTCAGATTATAAAGAAAATGATGGGTGAATGGATGGTATTGGTTTTTTTTTTTTAAATCCATTTGATAAATCTGTGGCTCACTTTTCCATGAAGACCTCGATTGTAGAAGTGAGATAGCTACAACGTTAATGTGTTAATGAAATGCTTCATTCTAAGCTAATATTTGGAAAACATTCTTTTTCACTTGTCCTCCCGATCCTTTCATGCTTTTTTATCGGGTCATTTCCTCTTTCTTCCAAGGTGCAGGCTGAGATCAAGAAGACATGGTCAAGATGGAACCTGGCCATTGACTGGGAGAGGCCAGCACCTTGTGGCAACTACCACTATGGCTCTGTCCTCACTAACATGACCCATAGCACCAGCAGCCAGACCCAGATGGTGGCCAGTTCTCGCATGGTACTCATTTCCAGCCGGGTTTGCAAAAATGTCCCCCAGCGGAACGACCCGCATGTAATTTTGCCTGGATATGTTAGGAGTAACTCTGAACAGGACTGCATCCCTCAGTGGGTTCCTGAAGAGGCTGATGAAGATGAAGAGAAGAAGTTGGATGGCATTTCACTCCAGAAGCCCCATAGGCTTCAGGACAATCATGTAGGTCCCCTTGAGGAAGAGGAGAGAAGGGGAGAAGTAGAGGCAACACTTTAATAACACTTTAATAAACCAGAATGTGTCTACACATGGGGAACAGGCCTAGTATAATACTAATGGAGCCCTCTGTGTACAGGCAACAAAGGTTTTATCAAACTCTGTCATCATCGGTCATTCTCAGTGGCTTCCTCAATGATACAGCTCACTTTCTGTGATGCTGTGTTGTGTTGATGTTTGCTTGACCCAGGGACATTTACTCTGTTCCTGACCCAAGGTGTGTCCAGCTCCCAGAACCTGGGAAATGTTCTATGTACAAAGCATATGAGCTTCCAGTGGACTATGGTCACCCTTCCTTTGCAAGTACTTCTCAACTGCATGGTGCAGTTCACTGGCATAAATATCACAAAGGCATCAGGGAATTCAAGTAAAAGTAGAACTGAAGAAGCGGATTTGTTCTTATTAGACCTATAAGAAGTTCAGGAAAAATACAATGGATCCATAGTATCCACTGGTGTTTGGTTCCAGGTCCTCCCATGGATATCAAAATACATAGATGCTCAAGTCCTATTATATACAATGGTGTTGTAAAATGGTGTCCCTTATTTCAAATGAGAAAATCAAGGTTTGCTTTTGGGATTATTATTTTTGTGGTAACATTTTCAAGTCGTGGATGGTTGAATATATGGGTGCAGAATCTATCTTGCATCTGTTACTGTTTCAGTTCTAATTTCTTTACCAACGGGCCCAATTTTTTATATATCTATTTTAAGAATTAACAAACAAATATTCATGTCCATATTAATTCCATATTGTGACAAATGGTTGTCAATTAAAAATATGATTATTTCATAAGGCACGTGTGCCTATCTTATTCCATTATTGCAATGATCCAGACTATTTTAATGAAATTAATTGTATGTTGATATAACGTATCTCTACCGTTTATCTATAAAACATTACAGCCACTAAGCAGTACAGTGCAGATTAGCTATGTAGTTAATTTTTCACCAGTTCTTCATTACTCCCTAGCAAGATCATGTTATTGTAAGGTGATAATTTATGGCCAACCTGGTGATCCACTGAAGTACACAAGGCGGTTTATACTATAAAAGAAAGTGCAAGTTCAATTCAAAATCTAAAGACAGCATTAAGAATTATGAACACAACCATAGAATCATAGAATCAAAGAGTTGGAAGAGACCTCATGGGCCATCCAGTCCAACCCCCTGCCAAGAAGCAGGAATATTGCATTCAAAGCACCCCTGACAGATGGCCATCCAGCCTCTGTTTAAAAGTTTCCAAAGAAGGAGTCTCCACCACACTCCGGGGCAGAGAGTTCCACTTCTAAACGGCTCTCACAGTCAGGAAGTTCTTCCTCATGTTCAGATGGAATCTCCTCTCTTGTAGTTTGAAGCCATTGTTCTGCGTTGATATACCACTATGATATTCACAACAAAAAGGTCGCCCTGAGTCCCCTTGTGGGGAGAAGGGCGGGATAGAAAAATACGTAATAATAATAAGTAAAAACATAACCCTGGAAAATCCTACATTGATAAAACTGTCTTCACTGCCTTCACAAAAACAGTTTATACAGCTGTCCTTCAGTTCAGTGCTTTCCTCTTTCTCTAAATGATTTAAATCTTCAATTTAATCTTATATAATGAGGTATGTAAATTGTAATTTATTTTGCTGAGGAACCTTTATTCATTGAAAGTGCATTAGTTTAATCTGACATTATGTTCTCCATTTGGAACAATTTCCACTTCAACAGTCTACTAACATCCTTTTTTTTATATAGTTATGATTTAATCTGATTTTCCAGATTCCAGTTCATAACACTGGGGTAATTAGAGCTGTATTTATACGAAATGTTTAATTTAATTTCCTTTCTGTTTGAAGCCAAAGAGTGGCGTATTTGTTGTATGGTTTATTAAGTCTTTGTTGTTTTTGTTGTTGTGTGCCTTTAAGTAATTTCCGACTTGTGGCAACCCTAAAGCAAATCTAATGTAGAGTTTTCCTGGCAAGGTTTGTTCAGAGGAGGTTTGATCTTGCCTGGCTCTGAGTAGGTTTCTGTAACTGGTCTCCAGAGTTAGAGTCCAACATTCAAACCACAACATTATGCTAGCGCTAACAATTCTTACCTACCTCCATTTGCCAGGGAAAAAACAACGAGCCAATGCCTTTTTGCAGTAGTCAAAACAAGCAAAGGGAGCCAATAGAGAGTTTGTCAGGTGCATTTTCCCTCAATAAAGTGTGAATTAGTCTGCCGAGAGTAAGGTTTTGTACTGGTGCTCAAACAACGACCCTTGGATGAGTATCTTTCAAAACAACAACTGCTGTGAAACAATGAGTGGTGTGTTTTGTTTTGTTTTAAAGCCTGACATTTTATTTTGGAGAACCTAAATAAAAGGTTTAGGTTGGAAATGAGCCACTCAGATTTAAATGTATGTTGAATCACTTTCTGTGTGAGAGAATTATGTATGTACCTGAGAGGTGAACTTGGAATTTGATAGCAGACCCGGGATCACCCCTAAAGGCAAGCGTTTCTCAACCTGGGGGTCGGGACCCCTGAGTGGGTCACGAGGGGATGTTAGAGGGGTCGCGAAAGACCACCAGAAAACACAGTATTTTCTGTTGGTCATGGGGGTTCTGTGTGGGATGTTTGGCCCAATTGTATTGTTGATGGGGTTCAGAATGCTCTTTGATTGTAGGTGAACTATAAATCCCAGTAACTACAACTCCCAAATGTCAAGGTCTATTTCCCCCCAACTCTATCAGTGTTCACCTTTGGGCATATGGAGTATTGGTGCCAAGTTTGGCCCAGATTCATCAGTATCTGAGTCCACAGTGCTCTCTGGATGTAGGTGAACTACAATTCCCAAACTCAAGGTCAACGCTCATCTATTTTTCCAGTATTTTTCATTGGTCATGGGAGTTCTGTGTGCCAAATTTGGTTCATCTCCATCATTGGTGGAGTTCAGAATCCTCTTTGATTGTAGGTGAACTATAAATCCCAACAACTACAACTCCGAAATGACAATATCAATCCCCTTGAACCCCACCAGTATTCAAATTTGGGCATATTGGGTATTTGTGCCAGATTTGGTCCAGTGAATGAAAATACATCCTGCATATCGGATATTTACATGATGATTCATAACAGGAGCTAAACGACAGTTATGAAGTAGCAACTAAAACAATGTTATGATTGGGGGTCACCACAACATGAGGAACTGTATTAAGTGGTCGCAGCATTAGGAAGGTTGAGAACCACTGCCTAAAGGGCTGAAAAGCAGGGGAGAAGAGCTACAGGCAGGAGGGTTGTATGTGATTCACTATTCTCATACCTGCAGCTTCTTGGCTTCATGCCTCTTACCTCAGTAGCTTTTCTCTTAGTTGGTTTCCCGGATACATGCCTGATGCAACATAGGGTGCAATGGAAAAGGGTGCAGTGGAAAAGCCATGGAAATGGACCATATATGCACCCCCTTCCCTGCTGACTACTTTTCACCTTGGGCACCCATTGCAATGTTTTCAAACAATGGGGAGTTTTCCCACTTCAACTAATTCCATCCAGGTTATTTTAATAGTGCTCCATTTTGTCAACATTGGGCACAAGCCAGCAAACACAATTCTGATTTCTGTTTATTCTCTCAGACTTGCTGGCTTCTTGTTTGTTCATTTAGCTGTGATTGTGTGTGTTTACAATTTGTAGCTGCCTGCATTTTCAGCAGGCCATATCTGCTTTATGCCTGACCAAGTGCACAAGAGCTAATCTGAATTGAATGTTGCTGTTGATTAATGTATTGAACTAAGAAAACATTGTGAAGTGGTGTAAAATACATTAAAGCATTTTTATTTGTAATTTATGTTGGCTTTATTTTGAAAACTTAAAACCACCAACACGGTGTATTTGGTTCGGACGTTATTTCGTATTAAAGACCTTTGTGGAGGATCGAGTTCCCTTTGAAATGGGCAATGCAAAACTGTTTTCTTCTTGAGCATTTTGTTCTTGAATATTTAGCTGCTGAAAAAATTCCAGCCCCTATTTCTTCAGAGGCATAGCAATATAAGATGAATAACTGAAATAAATTAATGACATGACTAAAAATAAATAAATTTCAAAAACATGACTGAAGAAACAAAAAGGGGAGGACTAGCAACACCAGATCTAAAATTATATTTTGAGGCCTGCGCATTAATGTGGTCGAAAGATTGGGCAAAATTAAAAAAGAGAAATTATTAAACCTAGAAGGAGTACATCTGAGAACAAGTTGGCATCATTATTTGTGGTATGAAGGCTCAAAGAAAGAGAAGAAATTCGGTAATCACTTTATTAGATCTGCTATTATAAAAATTTGGCAAAAATATAAAAAATATATAAGAAAAACCCACTATGGGTATTCCCATTAGAGGCTACACAAAGAAGGGAAATGGGCTGGAATGTCTGGCCAAAATATAAAGAATTATTAAAGAAAGAAAGAGGTGTAATCGTAATGAAGACACAACAGGAAATGAATATGATAAACATGGTATCAATATAGACAAGTAAAAGAATGCTTCAAAATAGACAAGGAAAGAGGTTTTCAAGAAGATGATACCTTTTGGGACACTATAGTAAATTCAGAAAGAAAAAGTAATCACAATGATTTACAAAAAATTACTGGAATGGAACGTAGAACCAGAAGGAGGAAAAAGTTATATGAGAAGATAGACAGAAAATATGGGAAAAACAATTAAAAAAAGAAAATTGGAAAGAAATATGGAAAACAAAAATCAAATATACACAAGACCTTAAAGAAAATTGGATTAAAGTCCCACACAGACATGACACCCCAGAAATTTGGAAAATGTTATAAAAATATAAATACTAAGTGCTGGAAATGTGGAAAGATAGAAGGAACGTATTTCCACATGTGGTGGTCATGCACAAAGGCTCGGATATATTGGAGAAAAATACATAAGCCATTACAGGAAATATTAAATATGAGAATCCCATTTGAACCAGAAATATTTTTACTAGGAATAACAGACCAAAAAATGGAGAAGAATACAGATAAAATCCTCTTTCTGCTAAATACTGCAGCAAGAATATGCTATGCAAAATTGTGGAAAAAAGAAGATATACCAGAAATTAGTGACTCGATTGAAAAAGTGATAGACATTAAAAATGTGGACAGGTTAACATATCTAAAAACAAAAAAACAAAGGGACTCTAATAAAAGAGACTGGTTGGACAAAAGTAATAAATTATTTGAAACAAAGAAATGGACATATAATAATATGAAGGGAAGTGAAAACAAGTGTGAAGAAGGAGAAGAGAAGAAAGAAAGAAAGGGAAAAACCACCAGGAAGATACTCAGGAAGTCAACAAAAGAGTTACACAACAATCTGCTCCTATTTTTTATCGTTTTTTCTTTTTTCTTTTTTCTCTTTCTTCTTTATTTACTTTTTTATTTTTTATTTTATTTTTTGGTTTAACACTACTCTATATTTGCACAAAATAGAAAATTTTCTCAATAAAGATGATTAAAAAAAATAAGATGAATAACTGAAAAACTAAGGAGAATTTTCTGTGTCTTCTGGACCATTTGCAAGCAAGGTCCTTTCATCAAACCTATGCTGATCTATGACCATAATAAAGATTTATTTGTTTGAAGTTATTTCTTTCATTCAATGCATCCCAGTGAAATAAGCCGTTGATGTAATTCCATGCATATGTTGATGCAATTCCACTTTAAAAAATTAAAACACTTGTCAAGGCATTGAAAAGCTTCTCTTTGTTCTTAGCCATTTAGATGAAGAGGGCTTTTTATATCCATGGAATGAGCACAAAAGAGTATCCCCAACCCCTTAACAGCAATACTGGAACATCCTGTCACTTGACATCCTGTCAAGATATTTAATCACTCAGTTCTTTGTTGTACAACATGTCATGTTTCTATAGTAAACGTTTTGTATCATTGCCTAACCTTTTACCAAGAATAGCTAGAGCATCACTATTTTGAGTCATGTACATGGAATAATGGACGCTGAAAGGTCAAGTTAGAGCTATTAAGAAAACTAAATTATGTATCACAAAGGCAATCTGGTTGCTTCAGATCTAATGTCATTTGCAGAAATGAGACAGTGACACCATGCTATTTCCTTACTGTCTAGAAAGGCTAACCAAATGGAGAAAGGAATGTGCAATTCTCCATCTTGAAAGACATGGTCCTTTTGTAGTGATTTCAGCTAGGACTGCGGATAAGGAGGTCTGTGCCCAGTGAGCTTCTGCTAAACCAGATCAGCCAGGAGAGAGAACATGCGCTCCAGGTTGAAG